AAAGGAAGATTTTATGAGTTGAACAGATATTTTAGCTCTGAGAACAATTTGAATAAAGGTGATAAAAATCTCTGAACAAAATTATTTCCTTCTTAAAACCTACAAGTAACGATTATAAACCAGAAAGGGTCCAAGCACTAGGTAAAAATATCAGTAGCAACCACTATCACCAACTGCCACTATTGTTTACTGAGGGCTTAGGATGCAAAGAAAACTTTTCGGAATATTGCTCATCCATTATCTCACTTAATCTTATGACTCTGTGAAGGTAGATACAGCTGCTACTGTAACATTGCACACCAGGATGCTAATGCTCAAGCTGAGAAATTTAATCTAAAGTGACTCAGCTGGAATGAGGGAGCTGGAATCAGGTGCAGGAGAATGATTCCAGAGTTCGCCCTTTTCCTCTCCTGTTTAAGTCGTGACTGAAAACCCTTCCTGAATTATCCTCACATTTAGTTCTAAGGGGGAGAAATATCCCTGCTTTCAGTCTTAAGTACCCACTGTTTAGACTACTTATCATGGGTACAAATTGTAAAACTGCTGGGCCATTTCTTCATCATTGACTCTATATCACTACCACAGTACAGGACACACAACAGATGCTCAATAAATGTTGGTTGATTAAATAAGTGAATGAATGCAATTTAGTTAAGAAAATGGAAAATATATTCCATATATGAAGCCACTGAAGGAAATTTTTAGAAAAATAAATCTGTAATATTAGTTATTGGTTTCTTTCAGAAATACAAGCCAGTCCTTTTTTTCTGAAATAAAATATAGGTGCACAATATTCTATGTGGTGGTTTGCATGAGAATGTCCCCCTATCAGCTTCAAGTATTGGTACACTTGATCCCCAGTTCGTGGTGCTGTTTGGGGAGGGTCGTGGAACCCGTGGGAGACATGGCCATGCTGGAGGAAGCATGTCACTGGAGGTGAGCTTTGAGAGTTCTTAAGCCTTGCCAGTTTCACTAGGCTTCCTGTGCCTGCTTGAAGATGTGATCACTAGACTTTCCGCTCTGGCCCCCTCCTGCCACCACTCCTCCCCCACCATTAGGGACTCTTTCTCTGGAACCATAAGCCAAATAAAGTCTACCTTCTATAAGTCATGGTGTTTTATCACAGCAACAGAAAAGTAACTAACACATTCTAAGACAATGACATTTACAGAATACTGTCCTGTACATAGTGAGAAACATGGTCGAGTTGAGCAATTTAAACAAAGCAACTGGATTGCAAAAAAAAAAAAAAAAAAAAAAACAGCTTAAAATGTTTTAAGTTATAAAAAAGTGATTATGTTCAACCACAAATGTAAATGAATGTTTAAGAGTCTAGGGACTATATGTCCTTCTTTGTAAATGGCTAACATTTCCATAAGATCATTAAAAAGCACAATCTAAAATATTTAAGGAGCTTAACTGTCTATTCCACATCACATCTAAAATCAAACTCCAGATACAGGGTTGCACTCTCAATTTCTAGCCCTAGCTTGGCCAGGTCAAGAGAAAGAAGTTCGTCCTACTAAGTTCAGTTCAGCCTACTAAGTGACAAACTGACTTTTGGTTACAGGGAAATAGCAGAGTTGTTCCTACGTTTACTAGTCAGTCTCCCCGACCCCTAATGATCAACAGATCTGAACCTGTACAAATTACATGAATGTTAAACATTTTACTTGAAGTTACCTATTTTTCCTTCTTTACTCAGAGATGGTATTTAATCTTAATTACAGTGTACATTTCTTGAGAACTTACACATCTGAATGTGTGTATTACAGTGAAACTGCACTGGATGGACCTGTGCAATTTTCTTCACTTGATCTTAGCCAAAAGGCAGAGAAGAGATACATACAAATTTCTTAATGCTATTTTATCTGTGCTAAAAATTCTATTCAAAAGGCATTTTCTAATCTATTAGTCTTTCGTGAAATGAACTAGAAGGGCTTTTGCAGCAGTTATTTCTCTGAAACATTTTCTTTTCTTTTCTTTTTTTTTTTTTTTTTTTTTTTTGACAATGTCTCTCTGCAGCCACAGGTGGCCTAGAACTCACTATGTAGACCAGGCTGTCCGTGACTTCACAGAGATCTGCCTGCCTCTGCCTCCCGAGAGCTGGGATTAAAGATACCACACCCAGCTTTTTATCAATACCTTAATCTACCATAATCAATTTATCTATCTAAAACAAATATAGACAAAAAAGAGTTTTTTTTCCAAACAGTACAATCTTGTCAAACATAGAATGTGATCTAGTTAATGTGAGTCAAAGAAAATACTATATACATGGCTAAGCTTTGTACTTGTAACAAGTCAGAGAAAAAGGGCTCTTTTCAGTCTAAAGCATCACAAATTTCAAAATAAATACATATATTTAACAATAATCCTAAAAATTCAGCTCTGATATTTTTAACGCCAATTCTTTCATAATATTTTTCATTAAGAAATATCAGATAGGACATGAGGGTGATCTGGCTTCAACAGCTTTCTCCCCACTGATCATCAGGGCTGATCTGGCTGATCTGGCAGGCTCGGCAGGTGTCCCCTTCCTCATCCCCTTCCTCCCTCCATGATCCATGCATCCTTCCCAAAGCTACAGGCTTGGTCATAGAGAATGACTTTCCCCAAATACAGGAGGACCAGTTTTCAGTCAAGGGTATATTAGTAGCTACACTCCCCTGCTAGAACCTCCAAACAAGCTCTCGAGAAATGTCAGATAGGTGTCCTATTCAGGGATAAGCACTCTGTGGCCTCTTGTTAGGAATCATGGCGAAAGAAGAGACAGAAAGATTTTGAGCCAGAGAGGATGGATGATCACAAGGAAACAAGAGTCTTAGAGACAGCTGGTCAGTTACTCATATGAACTCACAGCAGTGGTGACAGCATGCACAAGTTCCATTTAAGTTCAAATCAAACAAAATCCCAGCCTAGACATGAGGAAGGAAGGAAGAAATTCCAACCCAACCTAAGGAATTTTTGGCAATTGATGGCTGCTGGGAGGGGGAGAGACAGTGTCTTACAGGGATGGGACTTTTCAGTGGATAGACCTACACTGAAGGACATTTGGGGATACAAATCAGGCCATATTATAAATATATAAAAGAGAGTACAACAAATAGTGGGGGGCTACTGGTAGAGGAGGGGATCTAAATACCATCAAACTATATTGTATGAAAATTGCAAAAATTCAAAATAAAGGAGAAGAAATGTGAAACTATTTTTTTCTAGTTGCTGTCCTTCACCTCTGTGATACATAATGTGTATTTCATTAAAGATACAACTTATCACAGAACCATTCACAGATTTCTCTAAGCATTTAAAATGAGTTCTCTCCAGTTTTATGACAAGTTACAACCCATATAATTTTAAAGGCATATTTCATATAATTTGTAGATATTTTTAGCGCAACTGAGCTGTGAATGTGTATTAAAATAGTTTAGGGAAAAAAATCCCACCAAATCCCTAATTTAGTCAGTTCAACCCTTATTTTTTTTTTTTAGAAGCAGATAGAAGCATTAATTATAAACAATTCAAGCCAACCAGAAAGAATTGGGAAGTTTGTTCTTAAATTTCTGAAGGAAAACTATTACATAATCTGATTCTTTCTATAATCATACTGTAACCTGAGTTTTCTTACAGGTTTGGGTACTATGCTGGTAGAACCTTGTTCATAAATGGCCAGAAAAATCCCATCACATTGACTTTTAGCTCTTTATTGTTATAAAATACAAATAAGTGTTAACTGGTTGAAATGTCTTACTGATGAAACATCTACTCAGAGCCGGGTGTGGTGGTGTATGCCTTTAGTCCCAGAACTCCGGAGGGGGAGGCAGGCAGTTCTCTATGAGTTTAAGGCCAGCCTGGTCTACATAGTGAGTTCCAGGCCAGCTGGGGCTACAGGGAGACCCTGTCACAAAAAGACAAAAAAAAAATCTGATCAGTTTGAGGGAAGGGTGTCAATTAAATTAACAATAGACAATAGGAAACAGTCATGTGTCACATGATGGTATATGTTGGTCAAAGAGAGAGCACATAGGAAAGTGATTCCACAGGATTAAGACAGAGTTGAAAATTCCTAGTGACATTGTAGCCACCCTAGTCTTACAGCACCGTGTACTGATTAGTCACATGTTTAATGTTGTGTTACTGTAAAAAAGTCTACTGTGCTGCCGCTCATATATACACATGTAGCACACTAGTTATGGTGCATAATACCTGATAAGCAACTACATTACCAATTTACATATATGCTGTTATTTACACTGTTATCTTAGAGTATATTCCTTCCACTTGTAAAAATTAACCTTCGACCTGCATGCTGTGTTATGCAGGCAGCAGTCTCATATATTGTCTAACACATCTCGGTTTTATTTCATCTTATATTGTTTATCTCTAATCATCCTGGACCTAGGTGCAACAGGCTGTATCCTGCACAAATAGAATCCTGGTTTGTGTAAGTACGTTCTGTGGTATTCACACAATGACAATATCACCTAAGGATGTATTCCTCAGAATGTGTGTTGGTCATTAAGTGGTGCAAGATGTATATGTTAAACAAAAGAGAATAAATTCTCAGCAATCAAAATGATACTGTTTACTCAATTTGGAAAATTGTCGATTTTTTTAGTTTGGTTAAGTTGCGTCTCAATATGTTCCTTCTAACTTGAAATATGCAAGTTATTAGGTCCTTTGAAATTGTAGGCCATTCATACACAATAGGCAACACAAATAACTAGCAACCACACACAAAGACCCCAAAAGCATCTAGCCTCATTTGAATATGGCATCTTTTTTTTTTTTTTTTTTGAGACAAGGTCTCAGATACCCCAAAGCTGGCCTCAACTATTCATGTAGCTGAAGATGACTTTGAAATTCTCATCTTCCCTCAAACCTAGGGTTTCCTGCATGCTATGCAAGCACTGTACCAACTGAGCTACATCCTCAGCCCCTGGATTTATTTCTTTAAGTTGCAGGGCTACAACCGTAAGAAGGAAAAGACAAAAATCTACCAACTAGGCTGCGCCGCCATTCTTTCCATGTAGTCTCTGGCCATGTCTCGGGCTTCAATGTTCTCTGGATACAGCACGCAGTACATTGCCAAGGCACCCAAGTTGTTTCCATAGATTTCATTCCAGCGGGCACTGTACTCCTTGGGATCCCAGGGAGGGAGGTAGTCCAAGCGATTAGACAGCATAGTGTGCACAGCCTCCGTGAGCCTGGCTGCAATGTGCTTGTGGGAGCTGGCGGCCTTGAGCTGGAGCTCAGCCACCTCTGTCCTGGAGAAGTACAGCATCGGGTGGCTGTCATAGTTGGCACTGGCGAAGGGAATCATGACTTCTGGGTTCTCGTCGGTGATGTAGGCTGACACGAAGCAAAGCAAATTTATGAAAAACACACTGGGAGCCCCCCGTGTGTGAGTCCTCATCGTGGCATCAGATCTCCAAGTCTCCAAGGCAACCAAACCATCTTCGAAAGGTCCTAGGACAGACACAAAGAAGCTCACGTCACTCTCACTCAAGGAAACACGGCCTGGTGGATGCACACCGTGGGTAGGAATCTCGCTTACCAGAACTAAAGGTTTACAAAGTAAGCTGGTGAATCGCTTCATGTATGCAAAAAGTTGAATTAGGGAGAAACTCACTAAATCCCAGCCAGAGGTGATTTTATAGTACCAAGCACTCTATATCAGATAGAATTCATCATGAAAAACACAACTTACGACAACTGTATTTGTAGCAAAGGGAAAGAAAAAAAGTTTTTCTCACATATCATCATTCAGAAAAGTTTAGATTTCTATGGTAAAGGTCTAAAGACATTACTACATAAACCATAGTAACCAAAAACTAGTGCTAAACTGTCTTCTGGGAATCTGAGAAGTTATGAAAGAAAAAAAAAAAGACTCCTGTATTTCTTAATGCAGCCCCTTTCACTTTAATGTCTCCCCTCCTCCTCCTTACATTTTAAATTCTAAACCAGGGATAGGCCATCTCTGAGACGCTATGCAGACAAAATAGTGAATAAAGTTAACTGTCCTCTTTGTAGGAGCAGAAAGTGGGCCAGAGGTGACAGAGTACCACCGGAGGCTCCCTGGGAGGACAGCAGCAGCCCTCAGTGAAGGCTAGCCCAGGGCTGTGGAACTGGACCCAGCATGCCTTTATTCAGAAGAGAAAACCCCAGCACCCCCAGCATGGGAAGACTGAATGATACAGGTCCATTTTTCCTTTACTGTTTGAAGCTATGTCTGCCTTTTCATTTTGCTTATGAGATTTTGGTGTCATTTGTTAAGTCAGAAATTTAATGCAAGCTCACATATTATCTTACCTATTTATCTTTCCTTAAAAGCTTTGTGTGTGTGTGTGTGTGTGTGTGTGTGTGTGTGTGTGTGTGTGTGTTTTAAAGATGTTCAGTTGTACCTTGGCCTCCACACACACACACACACACACACACACACACACACACACGAAAAAAAATGAAAAACAAAAACAAAACAAAATCAAAAAACCCTCAGCCCAGTCTAAGCACATCTGGGATAAAGAAGGCATAAAATCCCTCAGAGGAAAGTCAGGGAATTCTTAAAATTCTTATGAGGGGAAAGGTTATAGAAAGCAGACCAGAAAAAGACAGTTTTATGTAAATAATGAACAGTGGTTTTCAATTATTAAAGGGAAAAGCCAATGGTGAAAAATCAGCCTCCCAAGCTGAACACAATCTATTTTTCCAAGGAAACACTGCCTCAACCCAGCCAGATGAGAGAAACTAAAAATCTAACACTAAAGTTCAATCCATGTTCTCAACTTGCTCCATGTCTGAGTGAAAGGAGCTAGGACATCGTGTGCAGCCGCTACCTTATTCTGGTACTTTTACATTCTTAAATGTGCTTAGACTATAAGTACACACATAAAATGGCAGTGATTTTGTGAAGCATTTTAGATTCAAGAGCGAAACTTCTGATGATTTTTTTTAAATTTAATGCAGTCATGCTAAATAAAACATATAAAATAGAAATAACTCTTGGATTCTGTCCGTATTATGTCTAGCACCCAAAGCTTCAATGTGACTGGCTGAATCCTTCAAGGTTAGTCTGGGCCAAAAGAAATAGTCTTCTGTGGTTAAGCTGAAGAGGGTGTGGTCTCTGGCAACACAGTAGTGACTAGTGAAGTAATGTGAGGTCCCCCAGGGGGCTATTTCTTGCTTCTCTCAAGAGAACAATACTGCTAACATTTCTTTTAAAAGCCTATACATGTATACTGCACCTTCACAAGTCTAAGCTGGGATGCTGTCATCAACACAATTAGCACTGTGGGGATTCAGGCACCCAGTGTGAGGACAGGTTGGAAGTTTTCCTTTAAGCGGCCCCACATGGATGCAATTACAGTTCTCTCAACTACTGAATTTTGAATGTGGTGGTCGGCAGGGGTGGCTCAGGCTAGTGGAGAAACGATGGAGAAACGATGACATAGATGTCAGAATTTTTCCATCTCAACTTCCGTACAAACATTCCCTAAATAAGGCAAAGCTTGATTAGTTTTATTCATTGTTTCTTCCCTATGCACTCAAACCCTTCTCCCACTCAGTCAGTCACCGAGATGGGCAGGACTGTTCTAGAATCCCCCAAAGTCCTTCCTTCCCTGACCAAACTCACCCAGTGATCCCAGCCACCACTGGCACATTGTTTCCCATTAGGCAGGATGCGCCTATGTACACCTAAACAAGAGAGGACCTGGAAAGAAAACCCCACTAAGACATTGTGGAAATGATGCCATCTCGATCTGCCAACTAATTTGGAAGGTTCCTCAGTTACCGCTTCACATTCATGAGAGGATGTCAGAGCAGAAAGACTGGGAATTACTAACACTAAAAGCTGTCAGAAGAACCCAAACATTCTGCAGAACCCTCTTCTGCAGAGATCTACTAAGGAGGCAAGAGCACTGACATTCACCTGACCACAAATTACACGTTGCCTTCCTAATGCCTCACTCAATGTGCCCGTTCTCACTGCCTTCCCAGCTAGCAAGGCCTTTGTTTACCTACCCACAGTTTTTCCAAGGCCTGGCACATTCTAGCACACTGGGTAAGTTCAGTGTCTACATACCAAGCCTCATAGAAGGCAGGAACGATTGTGCTCTGCTCAGATACCACCTCGGAACTAAACTCTGGCTTGGGACTTAGTTATGTCTCACCACTGAAATGAGCAAGCAAAACCTCTGTTCTTCCTTCTTTGAAGCCAAGGCATGTTTAAAACTTTCCAGAAAAGAAAAAAATTCTGCCAGGAAATTAATAGGAGAAAACATTCGCAAAGTCTAGAAACTTAAATAACCTAAATACTACTCACTAGTGTTTGCTGTGTGTTAAGAACGAAATTAAACTTAAGTTCTAACCCAAACTTGCTTTAATCTACGGAGATTCCTAGTTCCCATTCATCAATTTTAAATACATCTAGAAAATTCTACCAAATAAAGTACAATTTCTAGTCTCTGGATATTCCCACTGACTGTGCATGCTAGGCATTCTGCATGTCTACTTTAAAACTGAATGAATGGAACATTTCTCAAGACAATTTTAAGTGGACCCTAAGAAGGCAGGCTGTAAAGCAATTTCAGGTACTTATTTCAGTATGCATTAGGAAGAGCTGCACCTACCACAGCACATCCAGGAATTTCAATAGGTACATTAACTTCTTGTTCAAAATATATCCAAGTTTCAAAGTTTAAAAAAAAGTAAATGAATGTGGAAAAAATGTTCGCTGTCGTACCTGATGATTGTGGTACCTAGGAGCACTTTGAGATGCTGAAAATAGTCAATGAAAGAACAGATATAAAAAAGGCTAAAGGATTTAGCAGGAAACCACCCAAAGTCCCTCTATTCACCTACCTCTATCTCTCTCACCCTCTCTGTCTCTGTCTCTCTCCTTTTCCCCCACCTCCACCTCATGCATAGTGCCTTGGAGAAACAAGCCTGAACTTTGAGATGTCCGTGGATGATCTCTCAAGCTATTGAATCGTAGTTCACTGTTTTCAGAAATAGCAAAGCTCTGCCAGCTCACTTAAATCTCTCATCTAGTTTGAGAGCATGGTATTTTGATATGTCAAAATAATCCGGTACACTCAGCAACTGATTCTGCTAATATGTGGCTGACCCAGAATTCAATCCTCGGGGTATTTCTGAAGGATCCTTTTGAGCCTCATTTCTCCTGTTTTCTTTCCTCTTCTCCAGGCTGGTTAGACTAATGTGCATGATTCAGGTTTCTTTCCCATTCTTTTGTCTCACTCCACACAAGGAAACATTCCTAAGTTTTTACTTAATCAATGGATACAGAGTAGTAACTTAAGAGTCATTGTTACTACAAGATAATTCAGATAGCAATGTGATATCTCTCTGCTTGTAGTGGTCCAAGTTTATTCTCAAGTCAAGCCAAAAGAGTTAAAATTATCTAAAGTAGATCTTCACAATGCCACAGTGAGTCCAAAATTATTCTGCTTAATTCTGGTTTCAATAATCCACCACAGCTGTTATGATTACTAACACAGAAAGAAACCGTGGTTCTTGAGCCTAACGACTTTCACACATCTGATCTTTAACTTTACAATAACAATGTGGTGAAGCAATGTTGTTTGCTCTACAACAGAATAAATTCCAGAGGCAGAACTAGAACCTAAATCTTGAACCAAAGCACTGTCCTTTAACCAAACTAATTTTAAAAGCCATCAAAATTAGAAGTTCCATTTTTGCTATCTCTGCATAAAGATCTAAGAACAGAAAGTGTATCCTGAGAAAGAACTGGGCACTAAACTAGTAGAGTTTCAAAGAGAGAGGAGGGTTTCCAAATCAGCTGGGGCTGTTTATAGATTGAAGCCCATGAAAGGACAAAAGTTCTTTCAACTTCTCATGCTTTAGAAAATGCAGAAAGTATAAGGACAGAAAAGAAAAATGGCCCTGTAGGAAGTATAACATGTCCCAAATTAAGATGGATTGAAAACCCTCTTATGTGACAAATCTTAGAAACACAAAATAATGGTTAGCTGTATGGAGTGTGAACTTGAGCAGACATGAGTACAAATCCCAGCTCTGCTGTCTGCTAGCTTTGATCAACTGTCTTCTACTCTCAAAGCTCCCATTCTCTCCTTCACAGAATGGTACCCATTTCATGGAGTGATTAAATGCATACAACATACTGAGCCTAGACCCTAAAGTAGAGGGAGAGCTCAATAATTATTTTTCATAAAATAAGATGAAAATTTTCATGCATGTAAAACTATATTAACCTAGTCACAAAATATTTGAAAGAAATTATATCTTCCTACTTTGCAGGCAAAAACTGAGAATCAGAGTTATTAACTGGCCAGGGCAAGGTCATCAGGCTTGTTAAGAGACTTAGCTAAAATTGAACACGATGTTCCTGACTCTTCAAAGCATCCCTTATAGTAAGCTCATTAGTTACTGGGAAGAAAAGCATATGACCCTTGAAATGTTTCCAAACA